CTCATCTCCCACAGCAGTAAATGTGGGTTGGGGGCAGGTAAAGAAACTGTGTAGAGCCCGATGGATGGAGCGATCCTGTGTCATCAGCTATATGGAGCAGCACCGTTCTGACAGGAGGAGGGGGCGGAGCACTGCACAACCCGAACTTCTGGACTGTAAGTTGAGAGGATAGGGGTGGGGGAGCTTACAGGCAAATTGTACATAATGAAGGGGGAGGTGTGGGGGGGGAATAGTCATTTGTGCTTGGGATGACAGGGAAAATTTTGCTGGAAAGGGTAATGGGGGTTGGGGGGGGACTTCTGCTAGGAAAAAAAATATGGGGAATTTGAGTAAGGAGGGGGCTTGGGGGGAATATTTGTGCTTATTTGGGCTAAGAGGGGGTGAGGGATTTGGGCTAAGAGGGGGTGAGGGATTTGGAAAGGGAGAGGATCTGTTCTGGGAAGGGAACCTTGGCAGGGGGTTGTACTAGAAGTAGGAATTTAGGGGAACTTGTCATAGGGAGGCGATTGGAGGATGGGGATTTGTGCTAGAAGAGGGGATTAGTGGGGAGATTTGTGCTAAAAGGGAGATTTGTGCTAGGAGGGGGGTTGACAGGTGATTTGTGCTAGAAGGGGGGATTAGTGGGGGGATTTTTGCCAGAAGGGGGATTGGGGGGGGGGGGGGATTTGTGCTAGGAGGTGGTGAAGGTATTTGGGTTAAGATATTGAAATTTGTGCTAGAAGGGGGAATTGGGGGCAGGATCGGGGGCAAAGATTTGTGCTGGGATGGGGGTTTATACTGGGAGGAGGGGGAATTTTTGCATTGCTGTTTGGGGACAACACTGATTAGTGCTGTTTTATTTGAGGGGAGGGATTTAAGCTGATACAGGATGCTCACACATGGGTCTCAGCACATAGCTGAGATCAGATTCCCTTTCAGACACAGCCTCAATCTACAGTGTATAGCTGGCTGCTATGTTGCAGTTCTGACCCTGTACTCTTCTCTTCTGACCCCTGTCCCCTGCCCTGCTGAAACCTGTCCTCCATCCTGCTGACCCCATACGCTGCCCTTCTGACCACTGCCCTCTGTGCTGCTGACCCTTTTTTCTCTGCCCTGCTGACATCCTTTTTTTTTCCTGCCCTACTGCCCTTTTTTCTGCCCTGCTGACCCCTATCTTCTGCCCTACTGGACCCCTGTATACTGCCCTACTGACTCTTGTACACTCCCCTGCTGATCTCCCATCCTCTGCCCTACTGACCGCCTGTCAGGAATGGACTTGCCAATAGTGGTGGGACTACCTGCCTTGTGGGCTGCAGTACCAGGGCTGGCCAGCGGGTGCTCTCAACAACCAGAGTTCACTTCGGCAATTAGCCATCACCTGGGGCTGATTGCAGGTGGTGTATTTAAGGGATGGCCAGACCTGCAGTCTGTGCCTTGGTGTGTGTTTTTCCATGGGCCTCTGTATCTTGTAACCTGCATTCCTGTTCCTGTTCCTGTTTCTGCCTGACTTGTTGCCGACCCTGCCTGATCCTGACCTCTGCTGACTTCTCCTGTTTGATCCCTGACTTGTGACCCTGACCATTCTCTGCCTGCTCCTCCTGTACCTACCTGCCCGATAGTTATCGACCCGGCCTGCCTGACTACATTGTGCTCTATATGTGTATGTACCTGTGTATCTATATCAGTTTAGGTTTGGGTTTGTTTCACCTTGTTGTATGTATTTATGTTAGCTTGGGGTTTGGTGCACTGCGTTTACATTTGTATTGTTAGTCTTAATAAATTGTCTTATTTATACCATATCTGAAGCTTGCGTTTCCCTGTGTCAGTCCACACACTTCTGGTCACACCTGTATCCCTGACACCACCTGTACACTGCCCTACTGACTCTTGTACACTCCCCTGCTGACCCCTTTCCTCTGTCCTGCTAACCTCTGTACACTACATTGATAACCCACTGTAAACTGCCCTACAAACTAATGGCCTCTGTACTCTGCCCTACAAACTGATTTCCCTATCTCTCTGCCCTGCTGGCCCCCCTGTACATCATCCTACTGACTTCTATACACTGCCCCATTGACCTTTCATCCTCTGTCCCCCTGATGTTTTTAACTGAACCCCCACATCAGACAGGCTAGATCAGGCCCTGGTCCCCTGCCAACGTTCTCCATCCCCTCTGAGTGCCCCCATAACAAGCTTGCTATGGGGGTAGTTGTAGTTTGCTCCTGAGCCATGCTGTGTGTGTCCATGGATATACAGAGCGTGGATCATCCCCACCCCTCACTTTCCCCTCTCTGGCTGTGACCAATAGTAGCAGGGGCCAATGGCTCCCCCTGCTCCCTCAATCTTCAGTGAGGAGGGAGAGAACCATTGCTCTTGTGCACTGTGTTGTACCTTTAGAACCACTTTAAAATGTATGTGTGCATGTATACACTTTTTATTGCTGTCTGAGTTCTTGCCAGGCATATTCACTGTTTTTGACCTGATGAGCACTGTCCCCAAGACAGAAAGTAATGGAAAAATCTAAAAATTTTACAGTTGTCACTGGAAGAGGTGAGGGGAAATCTTTCAACTGGGAAATGTTTTCCAATGGCAACTGTCTAAGAGGAGAATTCACCTCACTTGGTAGAGTTCTACAAGATAAGAAGTGAAGAAAAATCTCTACGATGGAGGGCAGACAGGCTAAAATAAAGTAAAGGGTTTATCACCAGTATTTTAAAACTCTTTTTGAATCCCCCATAGAACCCAGTAATACTTAAAATGTATGCAGTGGATTTTATTAAATATACATTTTTAGCTCAGTTGGTGCAGGTTATAGCTCCACCCCAGGCTGAAGCCCGATTTAGGGGTGTTCTTATGTGGGGGGGGGGTATTGAAGCCTCTGCACTCTTAATTTTTACGCAAAAGAAAGTTTCTATGTACAGACCTGCTCACCCACAGCAGCCTTATATTTCGGGCCAGAAGAGAGACAGTACAGTTGTAACTGTCAGCTTGTGTTGTGAATGACCGTGCTGGAGAACAGAGCTACCATTCACAATAACACAAGCCCACAACAACACATGGCAGCTACTACACTAGTCCTACTACACTAGTCTTTGTGCTCAGTAGCTTTCTTTTTGGTGGAAAAGAAGATTGCATAGGAGGTGCAGGGCTTCATGATATAGGACAGCAGAGCTGCAGATGCTCCTTGTTGCAGCTTCCGGAAGAGGTGGGTGGTGGTTTTCTGGGATAAGTGCACAGTCTGTAACCCCTCTACTCCTCTTTGTGCTGACAGTTATAGTTAATTATGCATTTGTCTCCTTCATCCAGTGTGGTTGGATAGCGGTGACGGGAAGGGGGCGAGCTGTTCGACCATGCAGCCCAGCAACCACACCACGGATTTAAACGAGACAAAATACTGGGTCTCTTGGGGGAATTAACTCTGGTTCTAGGATTTTGGCAATATTCCTTTAACCCTTCCCTACTCTGTACAAATAAGAAAATAAATGTTTTTTATAACTATTACATACACTTGAACAATTGTCCAGCAGGAAGACTGAGCGACTGCCGTTACATACAGATCTTCCGGCTTATTTAGAAATCTTTCTAGTTGTGGGAGGCAGAGCTTAAAGCTGGCTGTAGGCGGGTATTTTTTTTTGTTCAGGCAGTAGGCTAAATAAAAAAAAATTGCAGGTTTCTTCCCGATGTAAGTGAGTTAAATGGTCTATAAAGAGTCAAGCTACGTGATGAACTGTTATTATTGTCATTATGTCTATGACATGAAGCAGAATGTCTGTAACTTTCACTGTGTGACATGCTATATAAATAAAGATTGTATAAAAAATATATATAAATTACAGATTCCTTTGTCCACACAAGTGAGGTGGATGAAGGAATGCTCCCCACCAGGACATTGTATTCTGAGAGGCTCCAGCTGCTGTCTGAAGACACTTTGGAAAAAGTTTTCAGCGTGTCTCCTGAACAGAAGTCCTTTAAATGATTGATGTCTAGCTTAAAAAATATGTTTATTTTGGAAATAAATTTTCCTGGCCATTCCTACCAGGCCCCCAACCTATTGTAAGGTAGCCACCGGCTTCCTCTATTTGTGCCCATGCAACAGAATGGGTACATCTCATTCAGGTCTTGAGGAAGTTATTACACAAGCATGGGAAGATTTCTGAACCGTGGATGTAACCTCTCTGGAAGGCTGCCATCCTTTGAAAAGATCCCCTAACTACACAGACCACCAATACAAGTAGTTTGGTAGCCCAGTCCAACCTTGTGTAGGTCTACAATCTTGTCCCTGACATCCTTGGACATCTCTTTGGTCTTTGCCATGGTGGAGAGTTTGGAATCTGATTATTTGATTGCTCCTATGGACAGGTGTCTTTTATACAGGTAACAAAATGAGATTAGCAGCACTTCCTTTAAGAGACTGCTTCTAATTTCAGCTTGTTACCTGTATGAAAGACACCTGGTAGCCAGAAATCCTGATGATAGATAGGGGATCAAATACTTATTTCCCTCATGAACATGCAAATCGGTGTATAATTTGTTAGACATGCATTTCTTTTGAATTTTTGTTGCTATTCTGTCTCTGTGTTACAATACATTTACCATTCGATTTGTAGACTGATCATTTCTTTGTAAGTGGGCAAACATGCAAAATCAGCAGGGGATCAAATACTTATTTCCTTCACTGTAAGTAAGCACCTGGATGATGCTTTACTACACAACTGAAGGATCCAGAGATAAGCTGGGAACCATGTCTACTGATGCCACCTGAGACAAAAATTGGAAATTAAATGAATAATGTTATGGTGAAAACAAATGCTGACAGTGAAAATTGTAGTGTCCCCTAACATTAGTGGTCATTGTAGAAATGACCCCTTACATTGGTAGTCAATGAAAAATCGCTTTCCTTGTATTGATGGTCTGTGTAGTTAGGGGCAGGGGTGGACTGACCATTTGATCACTCGGGCACTGCCCGAGGGCCAGGGTCAGTAGGGGGTCCCATGAAATGCCCCTGGTACCTTTTTTTTTATAGGCTTTTTTGAGTGTGGGCAAGGACACAGGGGCCCTATGATCCCCTATTGCCCGGGGGCCCCATAAGTTGTCAGTCCGCCCCTGGTTAGGGGATCAATTCATCACTGTACATTGCAATCTTAGGAGGAAGTCTAGGTTTGCACAGAGCCCCTGGTTGATTTTTCTGTTCTAAAAAAAAAATTAAAATCTTGTTCTGTAGTTTAGGATGTTACCAGCATCAGCCTAATTAAGGAGAAAGATCTTGGGACACTGACGTTAGTTCTCCCATGGCTTGAAAGAAAAATATTGAATTTAATTTCACATCATGGAATACTGTACAGCTATTTTTAACTGAACCAGGGGAAAAGCAAAGAAAATAATATGATTAAAAACAGTAGGACTATGATCTGATTTGGGATCTTGAAGACATGGTTGGCTCAAAAGCATCTAAATTTATCTTTTGGAGAAATTGTGAATGTCTGCAGAAGAACTTTTCCCTCTCTGGGGGTTTCAAGCTTCTTTATAAAGCCCAACTCCAGGCTGGGCAACTTCCCTGCTGTACTTCATTACCCCCTGAGCCCCCTCATTTTTTTTTTAATTCAGTATATATATATGATTTTTTTCCTAAGGTCTTTTGGCTCATGTTGTCATAGGTCTTTCTCCTCTTCATCCGTAGGCAGCTGGCAGTTCTGAATACTACAAAAATTGTTGCTCATGTAACAGAATTCTCCTGTGATCCCAGGGAAGCATGGTGACAAATCCCCAGGAAGCATTGACACCCTGAGGTCACAGGATGTGGGTTGAATGAAGCTGCGTGTCATTCAACCTAGAAGAGGAACAGCACTAGATCACAGAGCAGTGAGTCTGCAGGGGACAGCTCTGGAGATAGGGTACTGTACTGAGAGCTGCCACTATATTTTAAATGGTGCAGAGCAATGTGGAGTTGGACATCTCTAACTTGAAGAACAGGATGGGTACTGGTGCCTCTGCTTTGCCAGGTTCTACAGAGAGCCCATTAAACCCTAGGGGCCTGAAACACGCAAATATAGACTTAAAAAAAAAAAATCAAAATTGAGGAATGTCCTTCTTGGTTTCCACAATGCATTTAAGGACGGATTTCTAATTTCTGCTCCCCACTTCTTCCAATGTTTTCTGCTGCCCACCTCCTCCCTCAGTTGACTGTGTTGTGTATTCCACTTTTTTTTCTAAAGCTGGCCATACAATAGAAGAGTTTTGCATTAACATTTTTGTTTTAAGTACGTACGGTCGATTCTCTAATTGTTAGAAGGGTCAAATCTATGTTTATTTTCATCACAGCGATGGGAAAGTTTGAAGTCGCAGGATGGAAAATGTTTCTCCAATTTTTCCTTTTGAATCAAATTTCTAACAGTGTATATGCTTGCCATTTGGAAAGTTCATTCCAAAAATCAAATGGTGAAAACAAAATATTTTCCAATGACATTCGTCAAGTCAATTTTTGGACAGAAGCTAGCACAGAATAAGCAAATGACAGATTCACGGGTCACCGTGTCACTAAATTTCACAGTCAATGCAGGGGTGGCAAAATGGAAAAACAGCTGAATGGTAATGGTGGGTAGGATGGCAGCCTGGAACATTTTATTATTCTATTAAACATAAAATTGTGTTATTGTCAGTAGCATGATGAACTGGTCTCTGATGCTCTTCCTTGCTGCCCTATGTCATTGCCTATTTTGGCTATGAAAATGTCTGGCTCTGAATGCAGTGGGGAAGAGCAATCTATTGAGAATTTACATGCACCACATTGTGCAATTTTTATTAAAATTTACATACTTGAAAACAGAATGTTTGATATATTTATTTTTTATTATTTATATATATAAAATCTATATTTTACTAATAAACATTCATGATAACATACATCCACAACACAGGGTTTGCAAAGCATTCTATGTGCCAGGACCAGTATCTGAACCCACAACCTCTGCTGCATCCAGCAGTGGCTCTTCTTGCTGAGCCACCAGAGATGCTAAAAGTTCCTTATCTGATCCTTTGGACCTTCTTGCCTTATCTCTTGTTTCTGGTGAACTTGAACTCTTTTCCCCTCCCATGAACTTCCTGTTTAAGCCTTGTCTCTGTTTGCAAGATTATTGTGCTCTCACTATCAGGGGCGGACTGACCATTCGAGCACTCGGGCACTGCCTGAGGGCTTGGGGTCAGTAGGGGGCCCCATGAAATGGTACCTTTTTTATAGGCTTTTTTTGGGTGTACTTTAAGTGTGGGCAAGGACACAGGGGCCCCATGATCCCCTATTGCCTGGGGGCCCCATGAGTTGTCAGTCCACCCCTGCTCACTAGGTTGTCTAAAGTGGCAGCATAGCAGAAGCTTTTCCTTTGATTTTGAGGAGGAGCTTTTTCCTTTGAGGGAGGAGGGGAAGGATATGAATTTGGTAAACATTTTCTGCATAAAGGAACTAAACTTTATAATCTGTGCCCAAAAAGGCAAGCAGAGAGCATAGGACTAGTCATCGGTATTGCCTGTGGTCTCCCTACAGCTGATATTTCTATCATTACTAACTTACCATGCCTTCTTTTATACTGTATATCTATGTACAGGTAGTGCTTGTCCCCAGTGTGGTTGCCCTGATCTTGTAAACCTCCCGACACCTCTGACAAACTTGTTCAAAAGAGTAGGCTACAAGAATAATGGGTTTATACAACTCCAGTTAACGCATAAAAGCAGAACACTGGTAAAAAGGGAATAATCAATTAGCAACGTTTAGCAAGTTATACAGTCATGAGTAGTATGCTTCAGCTATTTAATTGCAACACCAGCAGCAAGAGGTGGAAGAAAAAGCTTGTTGACCTATCAGCTCCCTCTGTGCCATCGGTGCCTCAATGGGGCATACCGAGAATTATGTAAACGTATACGCTGGCATAAATAGATATAAGTACTCTAAGTTGAATGACAATGACTATGAGAAAAGGCCCCTTTAACTAGAGACTGCAACTTGAGTCCTGTGATGTTTAATGTTTCTGATATGGTGGTATCCGCTGTTGTCTGCTAGCAATGGTGGGGCCCATAAGCATTAGTGACTACTTGTAATTCAATGAAGTTAAATAGATAAGCTGTGGCACTGGTCAAAGCAAAGGTCTCCTGGCAACTGAGGTGTAAATGTGTCTGCATGCAGTGTCCGGCAGGGCTTGGCTCCTGCTACTTAACGAGCAGTTCGCTCAGCTGTTGGTTAATTACCAGCCACTCATTGTCTCCACAGTTACTCACCTGAATACCATTACCTGCCTCATTAGTCCAGCCTACAGCCAGCCCTTTTTGCTATTTTAGCAGCTTAGCTAATTTCCTCCTTGCCCTTGCATGGTCTATGATCTCCAGTGTGTGCCTACCTGTGTTCCTGTGTACAATTCGGTTTGGCTGACTTCTCTTCTGATCCCTGTTCCTGATTTTTGACACCTGACTACGCTGACTTCTTATTTCCTGACCCTGGCTCATCTGATTACCCGCTCTAGCATCCAAACCCTAGCTTCTGTTTTGACTACTTTCCTGAACTGTTATTTTTTACTATTTCATTAAAGGTGTGATTTTAACTGCACGTTCTGTCTCCACCTGGTTTATGGTTCCTGACAGTCTCTAGAGTGATGACAGAAAGAGGTTGGGTATCTGCCCACTCACCAATCTCATGGACAGCATGGCCTCCTAAGAACAAGAGTTCTTGCCCAGGTTTTTGGCTGTTTGCAGGGATGTGCAGAGTTACCGCCTGATGGCTTGTCAGCGCGGCAAGCAGAAATGTCTGTATGAAGACAGTGACAGTCCTGATGCAGAGAAGTTATGCGATCTCAGTGTGGTATTCAGCATCACCGCTGTGCTGAACTGATGTGCAGAGTCCCGCAGCAGTAGGCCAACAATCAGTCTCTGGAGGAGAACAGCAGTTCCCCTGCATTCAGCTCTGAATCCCCCAAGAGAGAGAGCCAGTCCCTTGCTGTAGAATATATCTGCTTTGCCAGCATCCTTCTCATTCCCCTGATCCTTGGTAGTTGTAGTTCAATCAGCACTTAGGAATACAGGATATATTGGCTGTAGTACTACAAGTCCCAAGATCATCTGCTGTCAGAAAAACTGAATCCACTCTGCTAACAAGAAGTGATGTAGAAGTCCCAGTACTGGGCACTAGGGGAAAAAGATTATTCAGAGTCTAATCTGTAAATGTCCCAGAATGGCTTAATGAAATATGCCAGAACCTGGCTACATTAGAATTGCACTACAGATATAGAGCTATGGGGCTGTAGGCACAGGAGTGTCTATGCATACTCACACGTCAGAAAGTACACTGATATTTATCAGAAGGAATTCCAGAGAAAGGGTATAATTTTCAGAATAATGCTTAGGCACAATTCATATTTCTATAGTTTCCCTATATCATAGCACTTCACTTCACTTTGAGTTCAGTTTTCGTTTAACCCCTTCTTACGGTCTCCCAAGCCCATGTAGGTGGGCTTTATTGCCAAGAGGCAGAACAGATTCCTGATCATGTGATTATACTGATTGGCTCTCACAGTGATCATATGATCGGGATTGGGCTCTCAATCATAAACCATATCCGAGAGCTATTGGATATAGCAGTGAGGAAGCTCTAAGCACAGAAGCTTTGAGCATTAAGACCCAGTTTTTCTGCTGCAGCATATACTGTATCTGCTACGGCAGCCGGGAAGAGGTTAGGAAGGGTAAAGGGGTTATTTGGATTGGTTTCTTCTAAAACTCTTCCATCAGGTTGACACTGACTGGCTATCAACACTCATGAAAGTGTTACTGTGTCCAACACTGCCATCTGCCAGGCACACAGATATCCCATCACATGCTCTGTTTAAATGTCAGTGTAGTTAATGCATATACTGAGCAATTATCACTTCAGATCCTGGGCGCCTTTGATTGCATATTCCATAAAGTAAGCAACACATGCCTGTGGTATCCTTCTGCCACAGATCTTTCACACACACTGCAATCCAATCCAGCATGCCAGTAACACCATTAACGTACAAAGGCAGTCATCAGCTGCTCGAGGTTGCCC